TGTGTTGTAGTTGGTGTACCAGATGTAGTACACATTGTACTTGATGCAGTACCTGGTAGTAGATGTAGTATGTGTTGTAGTTGGTGTACCAGATGTAGTACACATTGTACTTGATGCAGTACCTGGTAGTAGATGTGGAAGTTTCTCTCTCCTTGGTTTTGGCTGACGACTCGACTCTTCTCCAGCAGGAAGTTGGAGATCTTTCCTCCATCTGGAGCTCCTCCTCGACTGAACTGGATCTCAAAGTATTTTCCCTGACAAAAGTACAAAGATATCTGACTCAGTGTGTATTCATGTAGTTCTGTAAAGTACTGCTGTCTACTTATACTCACAAATCTGCTGGAGTTGTTGTTGCGGACTGTCTTGGCATTTCCGAAAGCTTCCAGCAGTGGGTTGGACTGCAGGATGATGTCTTTAACGTGCTGTGGTGGTGGTTACCAAGTGTAACCATGTGTAAATAAATGTGTACATAAGTCTATGGACAGAAACTGGTTCTGATCCGATCTGGGATCACGTTAGGATAAATAACTGATGAAAACCTAGACTTGGATCTCACCTGAACCTTTTCACCTCCTCCTGAAACTTTGGACACGTAGCTCATGATGTATTTGGCAGCGACAGTTTTTCCAGCTCCACTCTCACCACTGAAGCACAACAATAACACCACAACAACAACACAACATCAACACAAAACACTGTGTAAACTCTGTCAGTCTGTTGGATCAAAGCCCCGCCCACCTGATAATGACACACTGATTCTCGTTGTCAATCATCATATTTCTGTACATGTTGTCAGCCAGAGCGTAGATGTGAGGTGGGTTCTCATACTGAGCCTGGGATGTCAAAGTGAGGGCCGGTTAGTTAGTGTGTTTGTGTGTTTGTGTGTTGTTTGTTTGTTTGTTTGTTTGTTCTCACCGCTCCCTGGTACAACTCGACTTCTCTGTCAGTGAAGTATGGCAGCTGTTTAAAGGGGTTCACTGAAATCAGAACTGGACCAATATAAGTCTAAGAAAACCAGATCAAGGAACAAAACCATGTACATCATGAAACTGGACCAGAAACCCACCAGAAGAGCTCAGACCAAGACCCATATTACACTGTCCCCCGAACACAGACCACTAAAGACACATGTCCTCTACCTAACTGACTGTTGGTGTGTACCATGTGTCCTAACAGTGTTGGCGTGTACCACGTGTCCTAACAGTGTTGGCGTGTACCATGTGTCCTAACGGTGTTGGTGTGTACCTTGTGTCCTAACAGTGTTGGTGTGTACCATGTGTCCTAACAGTGTTGGTGTGTACCATGTGTCCTAACGGTGTTGGTGTGTACCATGTGTCCTAACAGTGTTGGCGTGTACCACGTGTCCTAACAGTGTTGGCGTGTACCATGTGTCCTAACAGTGTTGGTGTGTACCACGTGATACTTTCAGTGTCCATGTTATACATTTTTACAGCCTTCGTCACAAAAGAACCAAGAAAATATACTTCAGTACTGAATCTTTCCTGGTTTCTGGCTCCAATCTGAACCCTAAATGTTCAACAAATGGTCTGGAGCTGTGTACTGAGCCACACCTCTCAGTGTCCTAAAATTGCTGATAGATTTATTGCATCAAACCCACAGAAGAGATTTAACTGCTACTAATGGAGGATGGAACAGAACCCAGTCCTGAACTGTCTCAAACTTTAAGTCACCATCAGCAGACCACCAAATGGACCAATGAAGAAGGACAAATGAAAATAAACAATAACATAAGGTTAGTCTGCATGTTGTCTACATTAGACTGAGAAGAGCCAACAGAGATGGACACTCAGAGAGAGAACAACAAAACCAGATCCAGAGAAGAAGCTGGACCAGCAGAGGAGGACCAGGGAACAGATGTTGGATTATTACACATGAACTTGGATGGACAGAGATGCATGAAGGATACAAAGATGTAGTCGTCCATGTATCTCTTCTTCAGGTTGTCCGTGATGGCGTCCTCGTTGATCTTGGACAGCAACACCATGTCGTCCACACCGCTCACTTTCACATTCTGGGCCTGCCAGTGGTACCGCTCCTTACTGCCCTGAGGGGGACACATCAGGGACGTTCAGTCAGTCATTCATCAGTGAGACTTGGTTCCCTCTGAGGCCTCTGTACCTGTCTGTCTTGTTTGTCTCCAGGTGTCCCTGTGAGGACAGACTACCTGTTCTGCCCACTGAGCACAGGTCAGCTGCAGGGTGTTCAGGTGTCTCTGTTCACTGCAGAAACGTTCACTTTCATATCTTTTAATTGTTTGTTATTTTGCTCTAAAGCCAGGATTTTTTTATTTTTTAGAAGATACGTCTCAGAGGGTCAAAGGTCAGAGTGCTGCTCTCTGATTGGCTGATTTAAATTTCATCATAGAGTGACATCATCAGCCCCACCTCCTCCTAAATGTCTACATGTCCCTGGGGCCCGCAGTGTGCTGACCCATCCCTGCTGAATGCCCAGGATTCCTCAGACCTGCAGGGACACGCTGAGTGGCAGGAAGCATCAGGAGACAGGGTGGGTGTGTGTGTGTGTGTGTGTGTGTGTGTTCGCTCAGATCTGATCCTTGTTTGTGTAATCTCACATCTTTCCAAGTGAAAAATACAGACATGTTTGTAAACCTTTGTTAAAGAATTAAAAATCCACAAAAGTCACTTTATGACTTGAAAAGTAAAAACAAACAAACAAAAAAACAAATCAATGAAAAATAATAAAAATATTAGATC